GATTTGAGCTCCTTGACCCACGGTACCAGCCAAGGTCGAACAGGGCAGTGCTCTGCCTTCCTGCTTCAGCAGCCCTACTGTGAACAAGTCTCTTCGTTGCAATCTATTTAGCGCCACGTTTTTCCTATTTTTGTGCTTTCCATTGATGATTTCACTATTTTAAATGGCCCCCAAGTATACTGCTGGAATGCTTTCAAGTCTTACAAGCACAAGAAGGCTAGGAGGTGCTTATGGAGAAACAGCCCCTACTCAGTAAGTTTTCTTCAGGCATGAGTTCAATGTCAATGAACCAGTGATTCAGTGCTTTCCAAAAAGGAAAGGAAAATCACTGATCTGTATGTGATTCTGCTCTGGAAAGTGACAAAGTAATAACTAGAATGCCTGATGAAGCTACGAAAAAGTAGGTGAACTTATGAATTCATGAAGTGACAACTGATGTGAAAAAAATAAAACAAAACGCAGTGGATGGCATTGTGAGGCTAAGAGCTGAAGAAATTTATAGTGACATTACCTAGGGTCAGAAAGCTGTTAAACTGTTCTCAGCTGGTGTGTTATTAAACAGAAATATTGCATGTGATTATTTGTAAGAAATATACATTAAATTAGGTGTCTTCCAACAAAAATGTACATGAAACAAGTTTATATATCGACATACTGATGAAAATGTCATGACTGGAGGCCCACAGGAACCTAAGCTAGTACTTCCCCTAGGAGCAGTGGCTCAGTATTTGCTAATTTGATGTTTGCAGCAACTTTATAGAATGTAACTACTGCAAATAAGGAGACTGGGCTGTATATGCAGTACAGGAAAGAGGTAATCGATTGCTCTGCAAAGTGATCAATATTAAGACAGCCTTCTGAGCAGCATTCCAGAGAACGCCACAGATGTGACTAAGTGACTAAGTTCGACATTTAAATACATTTTTTCTGGAAAAACTTTTGGAAAAAAAAATTATATTTTTGTTTTTTAAGTTATTTGTGTATGAACAACCCCTTATGATTAGCTATGATTTCTTCACAATCATCAGACAGACTCAGGGAATCTTGCAAGGGAGAAAATCTAGCCCACAGATCATTTTCAAATATATAAAGTTCTATGAGTTAATATTTTATAATGAATGAAGTGGATATTGTGTTATGTTTAGTAGACAATTACATACTTACTATTAACAATATCAATAACTATTAACAATACATACTTACAATTAACAGTATCAATTTTGCAATTTTTCATTTTACAGCCAATAATATTTTGTTTGTTTTGGCTCGACTCATACTTTATTTTTTAGGCCCCCAAAAGTTCATATTCCTTGGTCACCAAGGGAGGATCAAGACTTTGGCTACTCTGAAGCTTATGTACTTCAAGGGTCCCTTTAAGAAAAAGGGCACAAAATTACAAATACAAAATTAGGCCCCTTGGAAGAGGTATTATTAGCTCCCAGGTTAATTTGCCTCTGATCAGTATGACAGCTTATTGAATAAACGGTCCCCTGCACAGGCTGCTCTGGGAAGACCATGTAGGAAGCTATAGCAATAGCTCAAGAAGGTAAAGATGGAAGTCCAAACGAGAGGCTGGAAAGGATGCGAGAGAGATGAGAGATATTTAAGAGGCTGGTCTGACAGGACATGGCATGTGATGAAGACGGTCTCAGAAGGCAGCCAGAGGATGCATTCTGCTGAGGTGACAGTGAGTCAGGGTGAGGAGGGAATGCAGAAGGGAATATGGGTGATTGGGTGGAGTCCATCTGGAAGATACAACTTCAGTATTGGAAATAATCAAACCTGAGGTGGTTGTGGACCACCTCCAGGCACCACCCAGTGCATTCCGGTTGGAGATGGGTGGGAGTCATTTTACATCTATCTGGGGTTCAAGAGCGAGGACCTGCCAGTGTGCGCTGGACAGCTGTTGGCGATGTGAGCGTCTCTGAAGCCCAGGAGACTAAAGTCGCTGAGCTCTCCCATGGAAGTGCACACACTGAAGAGGGAGGCATGAGGGAGATACACCCTGGGCAATGCCAGCATTAGAGGCAGAGATGCACAGAAGAAGAAAGAAGAAATGTGTGTTCCTTCAATACCGTTCACTGAGAGCCTGCAGGTGCTATGCACTGTGTAAGGTGTTGTGGGTTAGAGAAGCAGAGTCAGGTGCGCAGGCTTTCAGCGGGGGAAGGGCAGGCGACAGGGAGCTGGAGCTGGAGGGTGGGCACACTTTGGGTCTTCCAGATGTGAGGGGATTGATGAGCAAGGGCACAAAGCTAGAAAACCAGGAGATAGCAGCTCTTTCTGCCTAGAATATAGGCTATCCTGAGAGAATTGGGAGGGGGTTGGAGAGAGAGGCTGAGACAGCACCATATGAACATGATGGGTTGGAATTAAATTATGGATGGGACTTTTTTAAAGAATGGGAGCCTCTGATGATTTTTGAGCCAAGGAAGAGTTGTTGTTGTTGTTGTTGTTTTAGAAGATATGCATACAGTTGGCTTTGCAGAGACCAAATAGAGACTCTTATAATAGAAACAGCAAGGAGTAGGGTGCCTGAAATCAGAGGGTCACTGCAGACATTCGGAGGAAGGATAAAAGCAAGTGATGGTGGACGGAGGGACCTACAGGACTTTATTGACAGGACCCACAGGCCCCAGGACGAGCAAAGATGGACTCCAGGTTCTGAGCCTTGATGGCTAGGGGCCAAGTTCAGCATTCGCTGATATTGATTTGTAAATAATATGAACCTGAAAGCCCTTGAGCCTAGAGGGAAAGAAAAATGAAGTGTGAAAGCAATAGAGCTCCTTCTGTGTGATTTCTCTTCCCTGTGACCTGAACAGGGGTTGTGTTACTGAGACCCCTGTTCACGAGGCTTCACCCCGCTCACAGACTGAGGGGAAGGTCAGGCTCAGCTAATACACCCACATTTCCCCATTCTGCAGTTGGCTTTGTCATTGTTGTTTGTTTTTGTTGAATCCTTAGTTTTCATCCGGTAGCATTTCATCTGGTTGGGTTTGGCCCCAACACCCATCTCCCTGAGCTTCTTTTAAACTTCCCTTGTCTTCCCCGAAGGGAGCCAGTCCTCTCAGGTTCCAGTCCCCTCTCACAGAGATAAGCATGCCTGCTGGGCATTTCACTTTGGTTTTGTCCAAGACGCAGCCTTTGTCCCTCATATTTACTAATAAAGTGGAGGACAGAGGGTCACACTTCCAGCTTCCAGGAGTTCTTCTCCCATAGAGATCACCTGGAGATAGCCGGAAAAGTCGGAAAGTAGGGATGGAGCAGGGGAAGAAGTGGGGAGAGAGGCAGAAGATGTCTCCTCTCAGTCCTAGGGAACTGGCTTCCTGGTGACCACATGGCCAGGTTCCCCAAAGGACTTGCTAAGAATCCACTGCAGATCCCCTCAGGTTTGCCACCTAAACCGCCTAAAGGTGTTTCTCCCAAGACCTACTCCTGGTGTTTGTGGAAAGGCTGCTTTTTTTTTTTTTTTTAAGATTTTATTTATTCATTTGACAGAGATCACAAGTAGGCAGAGAGGCAGGCAGAGAGAGAGGAGGAAGCAGGCTCCCCGCTGAGCAGAGAGCCCGATGCGGGGCTCGATCCCAGGATCCCTGGATCATGACCTGAACCGAAGGCAGAGGCTTTAACCCACTGAGCCACCCAGGCACCCCGGAAAGGCTGCTTTTAAAAGTCTTTTCCCTCACAAAAAAAGAAGAAGAAGAAGAAGGGGGAGGGGGAGGAGGATGAGGAGGAAGAAGAAGGAAGAAAGAAGAAGAAGGAAGGAAGGAAAGAAAGAAAGAAAGAAAAAGAAAAGAAAAGAAATGTGGGGGTGGGGACACTTGGGTGGCTCAGTCGGTGACATAGCCCACTCTGAATCTCAGCTCAGGTCTTGATCTCAGCGTGGTGAGATCAAGCCCCACATTGGACTCCACACAGGGTGTGGAGTCTACTTTTTAGAAAGAGACTTCTCCCTCCCCTTGAAGGCTTAGTCACCTGCAGGTATGACCTGCTACGTAATGTGCAGAGCCCTATTTTCAAACATTACTGATTTCAAGATGGCAGCATCAGAGCAGGGAACAGCGTGCACACTCTTCTGGAGTGCGGGGTCCCATGAGACTCTAGAGATCACACTCACTCGAAGCCTCGTCCATGGCTAAATGTCAGTGCTTTGTGAGATGTGTTTTTACTGTGCGTCCCCACTGACAGAGCCCCCCCTCCCTCCCGGCCCCCCTCCCACCTGGTCATAAAGCACATCCACAGCCCCTGCTCAGCTGCTCCCAGGCCTATCCCCCTGGCTCACCCTCAGACACTCTTCTCTAGAGAAGGATTCTCATTCTGTTTCTCTACTTAATTTACTCCACCTCCTCTCCCACTGAACTTTTGGTTAATAGATGTTAACCTTTTAGGTAAGATTTGAATATTCTCACCCAGTCACAGGAACAATAAAATGAAAAATAAAGGAATGTCTTTTCCTAAATGTCACAGTTAAGACAAAATTCCAGCGTAGGGGTAAACCAGGGAGTAGCTCTCAGCTGGGAATTTCCTCTCTGGAGAGGAGGGTCTGGGACAGCCTGGGGAGACACTGACATTTGCAAAATCCCACTGGGCAATCATCCTGTTCTTAGCGATATGAGTGTTGTGATCTTTGCTTTTACCTAGATGAGGAAACTGAAGCCCAGAAAAATTAAGTGACTGCCCAAGGCCACACAGTGAGGAAGCAGCACAATCGAAACTAGAACCCCGAGTCCTGGAACAGACCACTTTTCTCTATACACACTGAGAAGGACCCCAGCCCTCCCATCTCACCATTACTTCTGTCCACATTGGGACATTTTACAAAACACAGCTTAAGGGCTTTGAAGCCGCTTCCCTCTGTTTGTATACAAAAGAATCAAATCTGATTTCTGTTTTCCTCCAAAGATAGTAACTTTCCAGCTAACTTTTATTTCTCCTTCTCACTCTTAAGAGACAACCCTGCTGCCCAGTTTAACCTCAGGACTCACATGAATTCCCGGGATCTGAAGACCGCCATAGAGAAAATCACCCAGCGAGGAGGGCTTTCTAATGCAGGTATGCAATCTGAATTCAGATCGTTCTGTTTGCTTCCACAGTGTTCCTTCTGTGTGCTTGTCTCCTAACATCCTATACAGGAGGAGGAAGGAATAGTAACAATCCATCAAGAAATGATTCCTAATATCTGTATTTTTTTTCTAAAGTATCCTCATGAATAATGGGCAGGAATCAATATCACACACATGCGGGAGAGTTCCAGCATGCCTGGTATCTTGGCTTGGCAGCTTTCTTTGGGACAAGCAGGACAGCTATTATAACTGTTTCCTGATTGGCTGATGAGTCATCAACTTAGAAGTTGTCAACTACGTAACATTAAATATTATAGCCAGTTCCATTCAGAAAGCTCCACAGCACTCCTTGGGGATCTTCTTCCAATAGTTCCTGTTAAAGTGATAACTGTACAAAGAGAGACAGGTTCTTCCTTTCAAGCTGAGTCTCCTGAGATGTCTGAGCCTTGGTGGCTAGGAGGTGATGGCAGGTTTACCAGAAGTCCAAGTCTAGCCCCCAGTGGGGCAGGTCCAGAAACCATTTTGCCAGTGAGCCTATGCCAACGTACAAATTCATAAATGGTAGTCTGGCTTTGGGGGCACTAGGAGGACTGTCTACTTCTCAGGGAACCTCTTTGAATCGTCAACATGCAAAGAAATGGAGAAGTGAGCCACGGTGGCTTGGCATGTAATGCACACAGAACTGTCTTTGAAGGAACATCTTTGAAGTTACTATAAATCTGATTATTTCCCTCCCCACTGCAGTGTAGACCAATATAGTAGTATCTGGCAAATGAAGAGCTTTGAAAAATGCTAACCAAACACCGGCCAAGTCACTGCTCTCCGGGACCCCAGATCAATACCACCTCGTTGCAAACATGATAGAGTTGATTTCCCATTCGTTTTCAATTGAATACTTAGATCAGTGACATTCCAGTAATGTATCATGGAATAAAACAGAAACTTCAGAAGGCACCCTATATCCTTGATGGGATTAGAGTAGTGTCTTAAAATCATATACCTTTTTCAGGGAATAACATATTCTGTCTCTGCCCTGTCCTGATCAGGGTTTGCATTTGGAGAACAGGATCCATTTTATCTGGTTGAAGCAGAAAAGGATTTATTCCTAGGTTCTAAATGGTTTTGAGAATAATCAAAAGAGCTGAGGAATGAGCTCGAGGCTGAACTTTGAGATGACTTCTGACGGCTTCCTGCAGGAGACGGACCTCCAAGGAGCTGCTGTCTCTTCCAAGATCAGGAAATCACATGATCAATTCCGCCAGCACAGCCTCTTCAGGAATCTGACTCAGCCAGGAAGCCACCACAGTCTGCAGGCTTCTGCTACAGCAGTCATCCCCCAAATGAGGCCTTGCCTGCTCCAGTCACACCCGCAAAATGCATGTTCTGTACCCTCCCACCTCCATAGCGACAAAGCTAGAGACCAGACATGGGTTCCTCCAGCACCGCCCAGAGAGGTCAAGGACCCTCCGAGGCTCAGGAGCAGAAATAGCAGAGTCTCTGCCTTGCTTCCATCTTCTAAATCTCATTGCACTGCACATCGATTCATGAAATTAGCACAACTCCACGGCTGTATCTGCAAGGGAGTCTCAACAGTGTGGTTCCCAGATTTCTGTTCTCAGCTTTCAAGACATGCTGGAAGGTGGGATGGGATGGGATGTGGGTTGAGCACTAATGGACGGCAACTTCCAGATCTAAGTGTGGGTGAGGCTAGGGCTGTGCTCTGTTCACAGGCATCTAACATTCAGCCGGAGGGGACTGCTGGGGGCCTTGCGCCTTCAGGGACATTATCCCTTGGCTATGAGGGCAGTTCTCAGCAGCTGTTTCTCTGTAGCAGCTCTGCTCGGTGCAGCCAGATCATGTGGGGTCTCCAAGACATTTCTCCAGCTCCTGCATATGTAACTGTTTGATCCTCTCAGTTAATAGGTTAAGATTACTCTAGCCCTCGGAGCCAGGATCCTGGCCAAAACCAAAAACCATTGAGTGTAATGACATTAGTCCTAAAGTCTTAGGACTTTAGATTGATTTTAGATTGAGGACCCCTTTGAGAATCTCCTGAAAGCTTCCCTTCAGCCTAAATAAATAATTACACATACAAACTGCTACATGTAATTTCAGGGGCTTTGTGGATATACTCCCCACCCCCGATGCCCCACAAGGGTCCAGAGAGCCCGGGTTAAGAGCCCTGCTTTTATATGAAATTATGCTAACTCTACAGTGACCTGGTCCTCCTAATTTACCCAGGAGCATATGGGGTTTCAGCACTTAACCTAGGAGAGACCCAGTAAACTGGGACAGTTGTCACCCCTCCTTGATGAAAAATTGCTGAGGTCCTAGATGGCGTGAAGCAAGTGCTTTGGAAAGCCATGTTGGCGGCTCCCTTACACCTCCCAACTGTGGCTTTCTGCTGAACTGGAAATCTGGAGTGACCTGCCTGGGTCCACATAGCCAAGGCTGGAACACAGTCCCTCAGTTCTCAGTGAGCACTACACTTCCCTGGCCAGCCAGACCCATGCCCCTCACATGGAACTGGACAGAAGACACCACTGACTTGGACTTCAGACTCCCATACCCCGCAGTTCCCGGAGCACCAGGCTGGCCAAACCCCAGTGGCGGGAGGCCAAGAAGAGGCTCCTGTCCCTCCAGCCAGTGCCTCCTACCCCACACTCCCGGAAAGGGCTTTGTGCACTTCCAGGGCCCAGGCAACGAAGGGACCCTCTTATTGCCATGAAAGTCTTTCTCATCTGTTTGCTGGTCCCTAAGACTTTTTTTTAAATAATAGAGAATTAGAAATGAAAGGCCTGACGTGAAATGGGGGAAGGATACGAATGGTGGAGATGGTTGTACAACATTGGAAGTGTGCGTCAGACCACTGAACTGTATGCCTCACAACAGTTAATGTGGTTTAAAAAAAAAAAAAAAACGAAAAAGAGAAGCAAACACACAAAGGGAGGGCATGAGAGGGTTTTTCTGGCCCTCTGGAAGCCGCTGGGATCTTGCCTGTATTTCTAATCCATGTGATCACAGTCTCTGCAAGCATGAGCTCTCTGTTTGTTCCAGGCCGGGCCATCTCCTACGTGACCAAGAACTTCTTTTCCAAAGCCAATGGGAACAGAGGCGCTGCACCCAACGTGGCCGTGGTGATTGTGGACGGCTGGCCCACGGACAAGGTGGAGGAGGCTTCGAGGTTCGCAAGAGAGTCAGGAATCAACATTTTCTTCATCACCGTCGAAGGTGCCACTGAGAGTGAGAAGCAGTACGTGACAGAGCCCAACTTCTCGAATAAGGTACGGAAGTGCCCCAGGGACCCGCCCGGTGTTGGCGTCCACTCGCTCTGCACAGCTGTGACAGCCCTCAAGACTGTTCTTGTGCCTTCAAAGGGGCATAGAGCTTACTTGGAGGCAGGGAAGCCTCCAGGGAGGGGCCAGTAAGTCTGGAGCCTGGAGTCACCCAGAGTCATCCCGGAACACCTCATCAGCTCCCAGTGCCACCTCCCGAGGGCAACCTAGCACTCTAACTCTGGTGTGTCTCCCTCTCGGGGCTCCCCAGTTTGGTGTAGATTCACAGTGAAGCCCACTCACACTGATGCTGAGCTCTTCCAGTCCTATGGGGTCCCTGCTCCAAACCCCTCCTGGTCCCCCATTACTCTCGAGGCCTCTGGAGTGTGGTCCTGGCACGCCCAGTGTCTCCTGCCCACACGCAGCACCACTGCCCTCTCCCTCCATGACCTCAGCCGGCGCCTGGTGGGACTCCCCAAGAGCTCAGCTCAGCCAGGACATTCATCTCAAATAATACCAAGGCCATGGAAAGATTAATAAACCCCTCTTAGGGTTTTGCAACCCTAAGAATATTTCCTAGGACATTTCCTAGGAAATTAAGAATATTTCCTAGGACAGTTTCAAGTCATTTCTTGTTTTAAAATAAATTGTCAGTTCTACAGCTTCATGTGTAGTCACCAGGTCTGTGACTCTCCCTGTGACCCCCAGAGAGACAGCAGCAAGGAGACATGCTTCACTTCAGGAACACAAGCCTGGTCCCTTCTGAGAGCACAGAGGCTAGTTTACTCCATGTTTATTTGAAGCTGCCTTAAGTTTTTCTGGAACATACTTGGGCACAAGCCAATAAATATTCATTTGTCTGGAGGCAGGGATGTCTGGAGGACAGAGCTGGGGCTTTGAAGGCAGAGAGATCTGTGCTCCAGTCTTGGGGACTCAGATGTCCCTTCACAGCTGGCCCTCTGTCTAGTCCTTCATGAAGGGGGGGTTATATCCATTTTGTAGGGTTAGATTCACGAGAGAAGCTCTCCAAGAACATCTAGTGTGACTCCTGACATATGTGTGGGAGCCCTTGTTGCGGGGCTCAGGGCTGCTCTGGAAACATTCCTGTAGCTACTTCTCATGTGTCTTGTTCTCCCGAACAGAACAGAAGCTCTCTTTAATCCTCTCAGATGTTGGTGCCCCCGGTGCCAATCCCATGGCCGGCTCCCAGTACAAACAGACCTAGGGGCCCAGAGAGGCATGACCATGAGGCTGAAACCAGGGATTCACCTCTCTCTGAGGATGCGCTTCCCCTAAAGCAGAGACCCAGCCGAGGGAGTAAGAGTGAGTCCAGGGGTGACCCAGCGGGCATCTAACTGGGTGGACCATGGTAGAAAAAGAGCTGTAGGAAGACGAGGGCAGAAAACAAGAGTCCGTCTGCTTCTCTCTTCACCTGTCCTGGCGGTTGGGGTCACGGTGACCGCCTGGAGAATTCGACACCCGAGCGGGCGAGTACCCCTCCCCTCTGTCTTGCAGGCTGTGTGCAGAACAAACGGCTTCTACTCGCTCAACGTGCAGAGCTGGTTCAGCCTCCACAAGACGGTGCAGCCCTTGCTGAAGCGAATCTGTGACACGGACCGCCTGGCCTGCAGCAAGACCTGCTGGAACTCCGCCGACATCGGCTTCGTCATCGACGGCTCCAGCAGCGTGGGGACGGGCAACTTCCGCACAGTCCTCCAGTTCGTGGCCAACATCAGCAAAGAGTTTGAGATTTCAGAAACAGACACGCGGATCGGGGCGGTGCAGT